TATACTGTAACGAGTCACCAGAAAGAACATTTTTTAAATTCATTAAGCAAGTCCATCTCTATAAAAAGTCAGAAACCCTCGACTAATTATCCAATACTGGCTCTTAGAACACCTGTTCCTGAAGCAATGGAGAAAGCACGAATCCGCAGGAACCCCAACACCCGGACCCAGATGCACGGCCAGGAACGCCACGTGAGAGTCACTGCCACACAGAGCGGCGGGGACGGCGGCCTGCAGAGGGAAGAGCCACACCAAGCATCCCTCCCCCCGGTGTGCAGCCAGCCTGCAACAGACCTGCCCCACCCACCCTCATAGCAGAGGGAGGACCTGGTTCTGCTGCACGAGGACATCGGGGCGTCAGGGGCGGCAACCCGACAGCGAGATGGCAGCACGGTCTCAGAGCAATGGCGCCATCCTCCTCACGCCCCGCCTTCGTTTTCTTCAAAGGACGCAGGACGTCCTTGTTACGCTCCGTCAACCTCATGAGTCTCTGAAGCCCAGGAAGGCGAGGTCTGCAACTGGATAGCAGAGGTCACTCTGAGAGACAGGGTCCTGGCTGGGGTCCATCCCCAATGCGGCTTCTCTCCTCGGCGTCTAGCAGACAGACGGCCAGGGCCAAGGCAATCCCCAGGGACCAGCACCCCGCCCCCCCCCACCCCCCCAGTCCTGTGCCGCATCTAGTGGCCCAGGCCGTGCGTCCTTCAGGGCGGCCGGAGCGGGTGCATCGGCCTAGATGAGCGAGACCGTCAGCCAAGGACCCCTCACCTCTGAGAGCCAAGCACCCAGCAGAGCGGCTGCCCCCCACGCTTCCTCCCAGCGCAGAGCGGGGTGAGGAGGAGGAGCTGGTGCGGTGCCGAGCGGAGGCCGAGTTCTGGGTCGTCCAAGGCCGTCTTCCTCCAGCAGGCTGATCATGCGGATATGCTGCCGGCTGGTGACCTGTCACAAGGACTGGATGTCAACAATGAAAACACTACTGAGAAAGCATCCAGAGACGTCCAGCCGACAGCTTCTTCTGGCTTTGTGGAAGATGGTCCCCATGACAACGACCCCGCTCTGACCGGGTATGGCTGTGTCTCAATAAAACTTTATTTACAAAAATAGGGACCATGTCCCATGGGCCATACTTGGCAAACCCCCAATCAGGCTTCGGCCTTACAGAGAAAGCCATCCTCAGGTGACAAGCCACACCAAGGCACCAACAACCCTGGAATGTCACAGAAGCACACACAAACTCCAGGCAGAAAGCCACCTGGTGGCATCAAGGCCTCCTGACAGGCCTGGATGATGGAGGACAACTGGGGCGGGCTCAGCAAGAAAACGTCCAGATTTCTCTAAGCCCAGCACTCGAGCGACACTGTTTTAGGTGTCCGGCAGGGAGCCGCATCTATACTCGGCGTGTCTTTGCCAGCGGGATGCCACCGCCCCTTGCCATGGCCCAGCGTCCCAGGAGCTCCTCCCCCTGCACATGGGGTCGAGACCAGAGACACCGCCCCACCCCTGCCTGGTGTTGAGCATTTTCACCGCTCACCGGCTGGGGCTCAAGCCCCTAGTGTCCCCTACGGACTCCGCCCAAGGCAGCATTACAGCCACAGAAGGGCTCCTTCCTTTCCTCTTTCATGGATACAGGTTTTGAAGAATTATGTTTCAGACGTTTTATTAAAACTGCGTGTGCACGTCTGTGTATTACGCAATCTGTCGTTTTCAGGAAGGAGGAATAGTCATTCCGAGAAGTCCACTGAACGCGAGTGTCCCCGGTCTCCAGGGCCCACCCAGGTGAAACGAGAAAACTATGCACACAAGCACTGCCGCCGAGTCCGCCACGGCGCCGGGACCTGTCACTGTGCGCCTGTGTGGCTACAGCATCACTAGCCAACGGCAAAATCAAGTGACGTCACTGGAAAGTAGAAGAAACTTCCTTTGACCACATTAACAACCTCGACACCTTGGCCACGAGGCAGACGCGCACGTGCGCCAGGTCTCAGTCCAGAGGCGCGTTTCTCTGGGAGGCCACTGGACCCCGAGCTCCGCACGGTGCGGTCTCATCACCGACCCGCTGTGGTGGCTCACACATCAGACGCCTCGTACAAACTGCCTGAGGCTAAAGGAATTACCATCCACCCCTGAAACGCTCCAAGTGAGCCGCTGCTTTTATCGCTGGGCTCCTTAAAACCCTGATGTCGTCCTTGAAGATACTCAGCATCTACCCAAGGAATCCAAAATGTTCCCTGTGTCAAAATGAAAGGGGAGTGATCGTGAGCTGCGGAGTTAGCCTCCCGTGGACCCAGCTGGGATGAACTAACTGTCCAGCCCGGCGTGGATGTCAGCCCTCTAGGTCCCCTGGCTGGGCTCAGGACAGACAGCTTCCAGGAAGCGATGGTCACCTGGACGCCACGAAATGCAAGAGTAAGGGAAAACACTGGCACAGAGCGAAATGTCTTCATTTCCAAACAAGTTTGTCCACGGCTAAGAGAGACAGTGACGACCCAAAGCCCCTTTGCCCACTGCACGTGGCTGTCACAGAGGCCCGCGAAGAAACCCAGGCTGCAGCCCTGCTCCCCATGAGCGAGCCCAACAGGCACAGACACACGCAGTGCCGCCAGCCCAGCACCCTCGCCCCGCCGGCGAACCACAGAAAGCTGCCGAGGGATTCACGCAGCTGCTTGGCTTTTGCGAAAATCGTCCTTCTCTTTGCAGTCGTGCTCGAATGTGAGCCTGGAGAAAGCAAAAGCATGAATTCTTTTGAGTCAGCGCTGAATCTCTCAATAAAACACAGCTCAGATCTACCAACGCATTCCAGGGCACGTGGAAAGGTATTCTCTCTAAAAATCAGTCATTTACTTTTCTTTTGGATAGAATACAATAAACGTAAGCCCACTTAAAATCTGAAGTGCTCGTGAACCGACAGAGTTGCATTTTGCTGGACCAAGCCTCAGAGCAGCCTGCTCGGCCCTGCTGACATCTGGGGCTGGGTCGTTCCGTTATGGGGCTGTCCTGTGCACCGCAGGATGTGTAACAGCAGACCTGGCCTCAACCCACTCCATCGCAGCTGCACCCTCTCCTGGTCCTAACAACCAAAATGTCCCCAATGTCCCCTGGGATCAAGGTAACATGCCCCCAGAAACAGGGCCGCCCGACAAGACTCTTACACGGTTTCTGGGGAACACAGTCCAAGAGCTCGGAGCCTCATGTAGTTGTCGACATGTGACCAAGACCTGAATTTCTGGTCACATCAAAAACGTCCCTGCAGCATCAGCCTTCTGCCAGCTCCCAGGCCGTACTGGCCTTCCCCGTCCCAGCTCACGCCACCAGCGCTGGGCCCCCACCGCAGAGAGGACTCTGGCTAATGTCAGATGCCACACCCTGACCCCAACGCCTCCAATCACTCAGACCCACGGGGCTCCCCAAGGAGGTCACGGAGCACTCCCAGGGACAACACCAAGACGGGACCTGTGGCTCTGGCACCAGGTCTGTCCTGCCTGACCCTGCCCAAGTACCGTCCCCTCCAGGCTCAGAGGCCCCATTCCGGGGGGCAGGGTCAGCAGCTAGGACCACTGCATGGCCCCTCTGCTCTGGCACAGACTCCACGGCTGCCAGGGACTTCAGGCGTGGACGAGACTCGCTGGCCGCGAGCTGGCTCGAGTCAGAGCCAGGCCTGTTCCAGACAGAAAACTGCTCCAGCACGTCGCCGGCGCCACCAAGCTGCGCCAAATGAAGCCATGCCTCCCTCTCCCACCGCCTTGTACTCTAGCTGCCAGGGACTTCAGGCGTGGACGAGACTCGCATCACCGGCGCCACCAAGCTGCGCCAAACGAAGCCATGCCTCCCTCTCCCACCGCCTTGTACTCTGCTGTACACTGAATGCGATGATGAAGCAGTATTTTTGGATTAGAAACACGAGTATTTGTGTGGGAAACCTGCTAACTAGTTTTCGTAAAATAAAGTGCTGTGATGTACTAAAACCTCACTGCCTCCTCATGATTTTACCTGCATCACTAGAAATATGAAATGACCCTTGAACTGGAAGGAACCTCATCCCCCACTCTGTCATGAAATTATCACCTATGTATCCGTCAGAGAAAAAAATAAAACCAAATTCTGAGGCATCGAGTTCTTAACTTTAACAGATAAAAGCCAGCCTCCCATTCACGGTGGAGCAGGGCCCGCGAGGCCTGACAGCAGGCCAAGCTAGGGACCTCCTAGTTCAGCCTACTTATCAGGGGGTCTGTGGTAATTTTTCACCGAAAGATGAGTTTTAGAATGAAAAGTAACCTGAGAAGGTCTGAGTGAAGCTCTCAAAAGCTCTAAAGAATTAAGATATTCTCTGGCGTCCGGGTCCTTCTCACTGCAGCCCTCCGTCACAGCTCCCTCCCCTCCTCGTGCTGGTCCTCGTCGTCCTCGTCCTCCTCGTCGCTTATGCTTTCGTCACCAGGCATGTGGCTCTCCGCGTCTTCCTCCTCCTCCCGAGCCAAGAGCTTCTTAAACACTTCAAACTCCTCAGCAGAAGAACAAGCCGTCTTGGCTAGAAACTCGGCTTCGGAAACTCTGAGGATGTCCTTGAGGGGAGGGTTGGGGACCTGCGTCTGCCCCTTCTTGTCCGGAGTTTGGTAGCGTCCCAGGCGCTCCAGGAACGTGTGTCTCTGCCTGATCTTGGCGATGGAGTACTGCAGGAAGTCGGTCCTCACCACATCCGCGTGTCTCACCCCCATCCTAAAGTAGGCATACTGGAGACACAGACAGGTTAAGGTCTCAGGTGCGGATCCTGAAACTTGTCACTCAGTCACGGTAAACTCGGCGTGTCCGAAAGTGTGCGCAGCAAGGACCGCCTAATGAACAACGGCACAGCACACTCCGACGCCCACGTCTGCGTCATGGCTGACAACCATCAAACCACCTTCAAATTCACGGCGAGAAAAACAGCGGGAAATACAGGGCAGGAGGGGGAGACGATTCTGTTTTTCTTCACATGGGGATGAAAACTGAGTACAAAAAAAAACAAGCAGAAAATCCACAAAACACCTAGGGATTTGCCCTAAGTCATAACTGTTAGCAAAAAAGTGAGATCGATTGTCACAATCACATTTGTGAAATCGACATGCTAAATAGGTTCTAGAGAGAAGGTGTCACCTACTTTCCGGCCAGCCACGTCAAAGACAGGCCATGGGGACCCTAAGGACAAGGCGGGCTCCCTCAGAACTGGCGCTTCCCCCCGCAGTGACCGCAGTGACGCAGCGACAGGCTGCTGCTCTCCGAGACTCCTCCCCCGTAGACCGACCCGCTGCCCCGAGGAGCCCACCGTGCCCCTACCCGCAATCGGCCACTCACCTGGAATTTGTACTCCAGCTCGCCGGGGTCCTCCCGAAGGACGAAGGGGCACCTGTGCAGAATCTCTGTCACTTGCTGTGCCGTGAAAAGGCACTTGTCCCTGAGCACCCTGACGGTGCCGTCGAGGTCCCGCTGGCGCATGGTGAGGACTTCGGGGCAGCAGAGAAGCACCCTCTTCAGTCTCCCTGCATGACACGGAAAGGGCGAGCCCGTCACTGCAGCAGTTCCCGGCGCCCGGCCCAGGCTGACACTTCCGAATGCACACGGAGCCCCTGCCCCGCGAGCCCGGCCACCCCCGCCCCGGCTGCCCTGGCTCCCAAGTCTCCCTCCCGGGACCCTGGGCTGAGGGCTCCTCCATGGTCACACCGACATTCCTGAGAGCCGGGATCCTCAACTCGATGAAAGTGATTAACGCAAAGACAGCAACACGTACGGACGCCCTGGTTAGTGCGTGACCACACACTGATCCAAACCGAGGCACTCGTGAGTGAAAGACGCCTTTTAACTGCATTAGCCTGACTGGGATAAACTGAGACTGCCCTGCGGGTCGCCAGGGACGGTTAGTGCCTAGAGACTCAAACTGACTTATATAAACAGCTCCTTAAAATCTTCCTGACAGTGGAGTTAGTCACTGTCTTGCAAAAATGTTTCAGGAATGCATTTCAGGAGTTCAGACTTCACCTTTGCAGCTTGAGGCCATGCTGAGCCTCCTAACTCACAATCACAGCAGTAAGGCCCTTTTAGGTTAGACTGCCACAGGCCACTTGCTCAGAGAGGTGCCCGAGGCTGGCTTTTTGCTCATCCCCTGGAGGAGGCCTCTGCAGAGCCTGTGAAACACCAGGCCACTGAGTCAGGAGTGAAAGAGACCGGGAGGCGGCTCAGGGTCTCGGGAGCCCCTCCTGGGCCAGAAGGCCCATAAATGAATCCCATGAACTTCTAGGGTCCTGGAAGCATGAATTCTGGTGGCGCGGGGTGGTGGCTGGAGGGACCGGCCGCTCTGCAGTCTCCCAGGGCCTGGTTCCACAGTATTCAGGACATCGGCTGGGCTCTGAAAGCCTGTAGCTTCACATCACAGGCACAAAGCACTAAGACACTCATTTAAACAGCAAAGGTTACACATAGCTGGGCCTCTGCGCTGACCACTGAGCCCACCCCCAGGCTGGATGCCGGAGCCCCAGTGAACAGGCAAAGTCCCTGCCTGCCAATCACTACCCGACTCCCACCACCCAGGCCCCCACAGCGCCCTCTGCAGCGGTCACTCCTCCTCGCCTCCAACCAGAACCACACACCCTCTCCCCAGAAACCTCCTGAACCCCCTCGACCAGGCTCTGCCTCCCCAAACTCGGACCCCTCGACCCCACACACACAGTCTGCACCAGTACCTTCTCCGAGCCCAAGCTTTCGCAGGTAGCTGGAGCGCTTCTTCACCTGCATTACAGGCAGTTTCAGTAGCTGAGGGCTTTTCTTCAAGACCGCACACACGGGCTCTGGATGCACGCCCAAGAGGACCAGTTCCGATATGACGTCCAGCAACTGTCGCGGGGGGGCACCTCGTCGGACCCCGAGCAGTTCCTTAATATGGACATCACTGAAACCCATGTCCAGGAGGGAACGGATGACCTCCTCTTGCTCCAAAGACCCCCCGTCCACAGGAGGCCCCTGCTTCTCAAGGAGGCCCTGAGTCAGATTCGTCCTGCACTCTGGTTCCTGCACATACTTCCGGGGTTCAACACAGGGTAACTCCTCAAGGCCCCCTCCACTGGAGGCTGTGGTCAGTCTACGCAACAAGGAAGCCGTCATCCTTCTCGGTCCAAGAGGAGGAGCCGGCCCAGAGATGCGGGCCCAGGTGAGGGGGATCAGGCGGTGCCAATCCAAGACCTGCAGGACAACACAAAAGGGAACCAATTCCTCATGTCTCTATGGAATGGCGATTTGCGAGCAAGGGATGTGTGCTTTCGTCCCACAGGAACAGAAGTTTCCGTAAGACATCTACGAAGTCCCATCCGCACTTTAAAAAGCTTACAGAGGAGGAGGTTCACATACAGAGGACAGGATGGCAAGAGCAGCGAGATCAGAGGCAAGCAAGTCTCTCTTGGCTTTCGCTCCTGTAACTCAGGGGACAGCATGGAGGCACAGGGGCCATTTCGAGAGCAACTGGTAAAGTTCGCCTGGGGGAAGGGATGACTTTTCCTCTACCCACGGGATAAGGTTCAGTGCCTGGGGGCCTACAAATTTAACTAACAGGTTAACAGGAAGGAAACCACCAGCCCCACCCCCCACCCCCGCCCCCGGAAGTTTCTTAACGTGCATATAGCAGCTAACACCAGAGGCAGCTCCCTAGGACGCTAGGGAATAATTTAATAGCGGAGAGGGCTGGGAGAAGAGCCTTCTAGGGGAAGAACGGATGGGTCTCCAGGGGCAACAGCCGGAGACGAGAGAGTCTGCCATGTCTGTTTACGCAGATACAGGGGGATCTTTTTTCTTCACCGCTATAAAGTCCCCAGGAGGATCCATGGCAGCCTGACTCCCAGAAGCAGCTGCTTTTAGTGGCGAGGGGGCTCCGAGGAACCTTCTTTCTGTATCTTCTGAATCTCAAATGCCCTTGGATAAAACTTTCACGCCAACTCTGGGGTCCCAGTTGGTACCCACACCTGAAAAATCTGGACCTCGTACTCGTCTCCAGATTCACTCCACAGGAGCGATCCTGTTGGATGTAACTCGTCAGCCAACTTGGATACACAGTGCCGCTGACTTCACATCTTCCGCGGTCCGGGCCAGCGCGTCGCGAACCCAGCACAGGCACCGGCACTCGGCACCGCTGCGTCCCGCCCAAACGTTCCGCCGCCGCACCCCGGGCGGC